TGGTGTTATTTTTTCTTCTATTTTTTTCCTTAATCTATTTTGTTCTTTTTGATTTAGATATATTTGATCTTTTGTTATTTTTTTTTTTTTTTACTTTCAGTCTTTTCTGTAAGTGATATAAGTTTTCAAGATATTTGGTCTTTTTTTTTTCTTCACTTTATTTTTTTAATCAAAGAACGGTAAAATATGTATATTAGTTATTTTTCTAACGGTATTAAAAAAATGTTTGGATAGAAAACATGACAGAGAGGTAAATAATTAAAAAAATATATAGGAGAAAGTGATTCAAAACAAAATCACAGGGGATTTTAATCTTTTCTCTTTAATTTATAAATATTGAGTGGTTGATGTAATTGAAATAAAAACTAAAAGTTTAAACAACCTCTATTTTATTTTTTATTTCTCTTCCTTCATCTTCTTTAAAAAGACCTTTTTATGAGAATCTTTTAGACATTCCCATCTACAGTAACGAGATTTTTCTTATACGTACCTATCAAAGTATAATTTAAAAAATTATTACCGCATACCAAAAAAAAAATTATTACCTACTTTTATATATTTTTTAAATTACATAAATATCCCTAAATTTTAATACGGAGCAAAAATTGTGACATTAGATATTCTTTTGTTGTCTTATATAACTTCTAAGTTTGTCATTCTTCTTGTCAATTTTTTTCTTGAGGATATTCTTGCAGTTCTTTTTTATATAATTGTGAAAATATAAAATATTTCGAGCTAATGACTTTAGATCAAAATGAAGTTTGAAAAATAAAATATATTTAAAATCAATTATGTAAACTGTAATTCAAACATACACTAAGATGTTATGTAAATGTTTAAGAATGATTTTATTATATTTCTTAGACAGTTGTGCTTGGAAGTGTTATGCACAAGTCTAATTTTGTCATAATTTAAAAGTTAAGTTTTATATAGAAAAACATGAATGGAACTGAGAAGGAAGCTCTCATACTCTTATACTTTATCAAAACCAGGGATGCCATTGCCATTTACAGAAAGAGAGAAGGGAAACAACAGAAGGAAATTTCCTAAAGAGTTGTTGATCAAGTAAAGTCTTAACTAGATTTCAGGATTTGACCTATAAAAAAGTAGTGGTTTCCAATCCTGAAACTTGCAATTTTTGAATTGAGTGAAAGGACTCAAACCTTAAAATGGATTATTGAGGTTCATTAGATCTTTGAACACTGATGGGTAATCAAAGGGGGAAGGAAATTTTATCATAAACATCGATGCCTTTTTGGATTCCTTGATGCTGAGTGGTTCTTGACACTAGCATTTGAAGCAGAGGTGATAGCAGCAAAGTTGAGAATATTAGGATCCAAAGACTGTGAGGATGCAAGTGTTCGTTTCTTCTGAAATGAATTCCATGTATTTGGAAAGGTATTCAGCTCAATCCCAGAGCCAGTGGTATCAAAGTCTTTAACTTCAAGAGGTAGAATTTTGATTTCTTGCAAAGGAGGTGGATTTTGCCATGTAGGAAGTGGTCCTGCATGAAGGAGTGTCTGAAGCAATGGACCAGCATCCATTACAGCTTGAAGGAGTTTTCCCTGTTGTGGCAACACTTTTTCTTTTGCAATGCATTCAATCACTGCATCTGCAATATCAGACATGGGCTCTTCAGCATTGAAGTCTTGAACCAAAGGCTCTGCATCTGCAATATCAGACATAGGCTTTTCAGCACTGAAGTCTTGAACCAAAGGCTGGTGGTTTATATAACCCATGTTATGGGATTCAACAACCTTGATGTCTGAAAACTCTGGAGAAGACACTGCATCGAAAAAGGGAATCAATAGGAGAGGTGACATGTGATAAACTGTTGTTGGATTCTGTAATGCTCGAATTTGCTTTAACTGCTGGAAGCATTAAAAGGCTTTCGTCTTGGATTTCAACTATTGTGTTTTTCAACTCGTTTGATGTTGAAGATACTAGCTCGGTCATTAGTTTCTGGAGTTGTTCTCTGGCTTCGTCTCTCTCTTGGTAAGCCTCCTTAAGCAGATCGAGCAATTCCATCTTCAAGTTCCTCGTTGCCTCAAGTTCGAGTGTGGTATCTAGAAGCTTTTGCCTCAAGTCCTCACCTTCCTGCAAAAAAACAAATAAGGAAAAAAAGTCAATGAATAAAGAAGACAATAAATCCTCACATATGAAACAAATACAGAGACAGCTTAAGAAATAAGAGTACTTATATGCAGTGAAGGATGGTAGAGAGCAAGATAAACATAAAGAGCATGAGTGGGAAGAGAATTATAGAATAACCCACCTCTTGATAATTGAATATGGAACTCAAGGGGTCTTCCATTCTCCGTTGTGAAAGAAAATGGCAACGATTGGAAAACAAAAGTATTGGATAGAGAGAAATTTAACAAAAACTCTTTCAATTGAAATGCACACTTTTCGTTTACACATTGCAGCCTTATATAAAGGTTTCGTTACAAAAATCAGAATCTCCTAATAAAAGCGCCTTAAATAAAAAAGCTTGATTACAGATGACCAGAATTAAATAAAAAGCTTGATTACAGATGATCATAATCTCCTAATAAAGAGCAATTACAAACTGATCAAAATTTCCTAATAATCCTAACATATTAACAGAATCTCCTAATAAAGGTGTCTTAAATAAAGGCTTGATTGGATATTGTTACAGCTTTTTTGATAGAATTGAATTTGGGTATTAACTCTCATTTATAGAGAGAATGAATGCAGATGAGACAAGGCAAAAAAGGATGGGAGAGAAGGTGGGGACTTCTGCACCAAGATTCATAGAACCTTGACCCTCCCAATAAAAATCAAGTAATGCCCAAAATTTCCTTGTAGAAAAATTGTAGAGTTTTCGGTGATGTGATTTGAAAAACTCCGAAATTCTCCCCTTTTTTAAGGACCTGTGTCTCTGGTTAATGGTTATATTTGGTTATGTTTTTCTTATATATTATCCCTCAAATAAACAAAAGAGTATACGGCAAGTAGGGGTGTCAATATGGGTTTTGACACGCGGGTCAACCCGCGACACGACATGAAAATTCGTGTTCGGATTGACTCGTAAAAAAATTCGTGTCGTGTTCGTGTTGGAAAAAATGACACGCAAAAAATTCGTGTCGTGTTCGTGTTTATGAATTCGTGTTAGTGTATCGTAAATCGTATCCCAAGTTACATTCTTCTGTTTTATGACTTTTTTCTTTGGAGCCATTTGAATATTTCTGTCTAAGAGAAAGAAAAAATAAATAAATTTAAAAAGAAAATTCAAAATGGACTAATGAGTATAAGAAAAGAAAAATAAACCAAAAATTGAAGTCTGAACTGTGAAATTTGGAGATATCTTTGATGCGAAACTATGGCTGGTCTCTATAACTGGATTCACAGGAAGCTTATAGTCTCTGAATGATTTTCAAAAATAAAATCTTTCTTCCTTAGAGATTAAAGATATTTAGGATATTCATTTAAGTATTTGGGAGGAGTTTAAAACCTTAATCCTGAAACCTACCCTGAATTGGACTAATCGCGAAATAATGAACCGATTGAAATATCTTTAAAAACAAGAATATTCATTTAATTTTTTTCTTTATTAATACAGATTTTTCAGATTGATTTTTGAGATTAAATCACAAATCAATTTTTTTTCTTTTCCTTAATAATAATAATTTTTTAGATTTTTTTAATATAAATCACATATCACATATTTATTCCTATTTTTATATTTAAAATTATAAATTTTGATTTAATTTTAGTATCATATGATACATGTATCGTATCGTACAATACAAATCATTTTTTGATATACCTCATGATACGTATCGCTAGACTTGTGAATCGTATCGTGTATCGTACGATACGTATCGTACGATACTGATAACTATGATAGTTATTACAATAATAAAAAGTAAACCATTAATTGTGTGTAACTATTTACGTATATTGTGACAATTTGTATTATTTTATTTATATTAATTTATATTGATTAATTTATTATATATCTAAATTGGTGGGGCCTTTAGATATTTAATTAAGCCAAATCAATAAAAACCAATATTTTTAGTTTATTTTTTTAATACCATATAGACATTATTGAACTATCTTAATTTACTAGAAATTAGTTTTTTTTAATACATACAAATTTAGGGTGAGGGAAGATAGTTTCTATTTCAAATTCAAGAAAAATATCAACCTAAAAAAAAATAAAGATTTTATAATGAGATTATAATTTTTTTTAGCAAGAACATATATCTAAATTTTGGAGTGAAAATGAGTGAAGTGGTCTATCAAGGATCTATGATCCAACTTACATCAAGCCTGAATTGGCCTTGTATATTCAATAAAATATAATAGGCTTACTTTTATTTATTTTAAATAAAATAAAATAAAATAATTATTCAAATAATTTGAACTAATAAAATATTATTTTATATATTTTTTCTAATTCTTAATATGTAATACAGTTAAACATACTAATGGACATAAGTAAAACCTTTTGATTTTTTTATTTTTTTTTTTGGTACATAAACCTTTTGATTTTTAAATATAGATAAAGTGAAACTTGTAATTTAACCTACACCATACTAATAAACCAGACCTGACTCAAAATATCTTATTTAGACACGATCTATTTAGACCAAAATTTAACTTGGCACAACCTATTTACATAGATTCAATACCAAGTCAATTCATTCTTATAAGCGGAAAGTTGATGTGTAACTAACCTAAGAGTTGTAGATTGAGGTCCAAGAAGTTTATCATTCAAAACATAAGCTCTTATTTGGGTCGACCCAGGCCTTATTTTTTAGCCTAGTAATTTTAGGATGGGCTGATTTTAGCCCACTGGGTATAAGGATGAGATCGTTGAGAAACAGCGACGACGAAGCCGCTATTAGATCTCTGACTAGGGTGTGTGAGGGTGAGGGTGCGTAACAGAGAGAGGAGAAGAAGAAGAAGAAGAAGAAGAAGGGAAGGCATAACAGCACAGAAAGAATGCGGAAATTCGATCCTTGGCCTGTTTTCTTCAAGAGAGAATGGAAGCGTAACTGGCCCTTTTTGGTTGGATTCGCGATCACCGGAACCATAATTACCAAGATGTCCCTTGCTCTCACTGGTATATCTCACCTCAAATCCTTTTTCGTTTTTTTTTTTTTTTGTTTTGTTTTATGAACTGCGATTTTAGTTCCGAGTCTGATTTATTGTTGATTAAATTTTCGCAGAGGAGGAGGCCAAAAATTCAAAATTCGTTCAGCACCACAAGAGGTAACACTCCACTCACCAAACCCTAGCTTTTATTTCACGCATTTTTGGCTAAATTCTATTTTATATGGACGTGCTTCTCGTTTCTCCGATTGTTGAAAATTAAAATCCGAACTCGTTTGAGTTTAATACATATATCTGGTATAATAGCTTGTTCTTCGTGGGACGGAAATCTGATATTCTACTTTTTTAGGTATAATTTGGGTTTTTCTTTCTTTCTCTGAGCAATCAATAGAGTGGAACTAAACTTGAGTTTTTGTACCAAAAGAGGAATAATAGTCATAGAATTTGATATTTTGCTCTATCCATGTACCAAAAGAACAATATTTTTGTTCAAGAACCTGAGTTTGCAGAGCTCGTTGGAGTGTGATGGTGGTTGCACACTCTAGGGACTTCATATATTCCTTTTGAAAAAAAAACAAAAACGTCCCCTTTTTTAAAAGCTGAGGCTGCAATTTCCGCCTCGGACAGCCATGGCAGCAGTGGCAGCCATTTAACGCAATGCAGAACCTGCAACATCATGCTTGTTTGGTGGCAGTTTGCTCAAATTCTGCCATGCTATGATGGGGTGTCGTCGCCATGGTGGCTATTTGACAATGACATAACTAGAAAATATGAATCATTTTGCAATATGCATGAGATTGGGTTTGCTTAATAATTATTGTCACTTTGATTGAGGAACTGAGTAATAACTATCTCTTCAAATGGTTCTTTATTTTATTTTTTTTGCCTATAGATTTTGTATGTATCAAAATTGGATTTGGATCCTTTCATGTGGAAAAGTGGTGATGTAGTCATGTTATTTGATCACAACCATTCATTTAAAAATTATACACTTTTCTCTCTCTTATCTCATCATCAATGAGTAGTTGTGATTAAATAACATGCCTACATAATCACTTTTCCACGTGAAAGGATTCATTCCCATCAAAATTTGTGTGATATCCGAATACATGATTATCTAGTTATCACTTGTTATTATCCATGCAAAAAAAATTTGGTTCTGTTTATGGGACATTCTGTTTTTCCTGTGTTTTCCAGGTGATTTCTGAATGGAAGAATGGAACTGCCTTTGCACATTGTATTAGATGTGTCAAGGGAGCTTTGCGTGTTTTAGTTTCTCAAATTGTAATAACAGATGAGAGATGTTGTATACACTCTCATCACGTACCTATTTCCAATTTTGGTTGTTTACTTAAATGTGCTTGAGAATTCAATACTAAGAAGTTCTGAATCAATAGATTCACTCTATGATTACTTTAATGTGATAATTATCGTACTTGAAGTTCCTTTTTTTTTTTTTGCATTAATATGAAATTGCTGACCTTAGGAAACATAGTGTTAATCATATGCATATTTGGGTTTTCTGGAGTCCGTTCCTCAGCAGTTTTTAGTAATATAGTTTCTGTGAAGCCCACATCTGTCACGAGTGCATATACTGGGCATTCTGTTCTCAAATTATTCTAAAGTCATCACCTTTTCACTCAGTGTGTTTACTTTTGATTAAGATGATCGGGTATCCATAATGGACACCCTAGTTGTACAATACTGAGTCTGGGTTTCTAGGTGGCTGGGAAGGGTGGAGGGTTTGTTGAGCATTGAATTCACAATTTCTTAGGGTTTCCGTCTAATACAGAATCTGTAGTCAGTTATCTTAATTTGTAAGCCTAAGTTCAGCACAAGCTTTGATAGTCAAATTAGCAAAAGAGCTTTTGTCGAGAGACCATACTGATTATCATGAACATGTTATGGTTTCTGTTCTATGATGGCTCCGTAAAATAAATAATTACGGAGAGCATTGTCGGAGGGAAATGGTAGCTGGATTAAGGCATTTATTCTTCGCATAGGTTTTATGGGGAGTCGTATATGGAGTGTAACTAGCCTAGCACAATGACTTTTAAAAATGTTATTTTGGAGAGTGTTTCTACGGCAACTGTATCTATTAGTATCTTGCAATGGAAACAAACGGTGAACTTGTTTTGACCGACTACCAAGTAGAGCCTTACCCAGGAATACTGCTTTCTTAATTCTGGCTTATCTAGTTCGGCTTCCATACCCAACATAGTTTGCTGTGTTTTATGACATTTATTTTGTTCTAGACTTCAAAAAAAGGACAAGAATAAGAGTGCTTTGTAAGACTACATGTGCCTCAATATCCACTTTCCTTCTGAACTTTGGCATCCAGCAAATCAGTAATACTCTTCACTAAATTTACGTGCTTTTCAAATTTCACCTCGTGTTTTCTGGACATCAACTTTCTGTTTTTTGGCTCTTAATGCTCTACTTCTTCCTGTAAATCATCTATGGTTGTTGAGACTCAACTTTTCTGCTTAAAAAGTTTAGTAACTCATGAAAATAAGGTAAGATGTACGGATACAAATACTAGCTACGGATATGGCATAATATTGATGTGTAAATTCGAGAAATTTTAAAATTTACAGGATTAAATCAATATAATATTAAAATTAATACGATACAAACCCGAGGGATGGCATGCACGGACAAATAGGAAGCATGTTGTGCCTAAGAATCAAGTCTCAGGTTCGATTGTTAGAAATATTCTTTGGGTTAGTGGTGAAACATTTGTGTTCTATCTCTTGGTGAGGGAAAAAAAATTTAATATGATACAATTAAGTTATAGCATAAAATAATATAATATAAATATAAAAACAAAAATTCCAAATTAAAAAAAATATTAATGTTTATAAGTCAATTTTAATCATTGTAAATATAATGAAATATTATGTGTTTAATCCTTGCAGTTTGTATTTGATCTCGACTAAGCAAGAAAAAAAGGACTAGTTCAAATATAGGCCAACATGAGGTTCAAGGTAAGACTTAGTTCATAAGGAAACGTGTTAGCAACGCGTACATCCCATCCCATGAGGAAACAACTAAGCTCACAACAAGTTAGAATTGATGAATTCCCTTTAACAACCAGTAACTGAATAACAGACACAAAATCTAAATGTCATTGCTCACCAAAAGACATCCAATAGAAAAGGTAGGCTGATAGATCCACCTGGGTTAACCAAGGCTGATTAATCATATCACCATACTAAGGCGATTATGGATCTGACAAAGACTCACATTATAGAAGGCCTAAGAAGGGTTTACAACTAAAAGGGATTAAGGAAAAATTGCTTAAATGTATTAATCCTAATCCGACAGCAATATATCAAGAGCTAGACCCCCAATATTCCTAAGAGGCCTTGAAGTCCACTCCTGCCAAGTAACCCATCTATAAATAAGGGGTTAAACTAATAAGGTACACATACTCAAAACTCTCTCTCTCTTAGCTTAGCTATTACTGTACACACACCCAGTGGCGGATCCAGAAAATTAATGAAGGGTGGGCACTCAACAAGTTCAGGTACATATAAATCTAGGTCTAGTCTGGAACGCGACTTGCGAGCAGCTATCGGCTGACTGGGTCTGGTTTAGATCTAGATCTGGACGAATTTTGACTCAACTGGATCGATGATGGAGGAAGAAGCAAATGTTCCAACTTCCAATAACGGATATTGAGGTTTGAGATATGCAAATGATGGGTCTGGAACAGCGCTCTCTGCTGTTAGGTTTAGATAATGAAGATGGAGGAGAAAAAAAAGCTCACGGGAAAATAAATTAGAAGGAGGAAAATTAAAGGGGCATGATATAGTAACAACCAACTAAGGTTATTACCAATCAATTTCACCGTTAGATCAATTATGTTGATCCAATGGTTATATTTATTTCTATCTTTGTATGATTATGATCCCCATATTTAATGTAAAAGCATTAAATATGAGAAATCATAACCATATAAAGGTGAAAATAAATATAAAGTATTAAATATGAAAAATCATAATCATACAAATATGAAAATAAATATAATCGTTGGATCAACATAATCGATCTAACGGTGAAATTGATTGGTAGTAACATTGGTAGTAACCCTAATTAATTGTTATAATATCCTACCCCGAAATTAAATTGGAAAAACTTGAATTTTAAATTAAAATATTTTTATATTTTTACATCATATTTTAAGGGTGGGCACTTGCCCCCCTTCTCATCTATCTCCATCCGCCACCCCACCCTTTGACAATGCCATATGTTATAGTGTTGCACAGTGATCTGCCTACCTTCAAAGGTATCTCCTCCATAAATATTTAGGAGAGGACATCTAGATCCAACAGAAACAATACCAATCTCTGATTGGACATTTTTGTCACTACGATAAAACAATAAAAGAGAGATTTAAAGTCCCTCATTAATCAAATACTAACTTAAATGTCGAAGTGCTTTGCATGTATCTACTCTCACTTATTTCAACCAAATCACACCTCAACGGCATTGAGGATCTTATCTCGCTCAACAAGGGAGATTTCGTCACTTCAACCCATCAAACTACTTATTTGGATCAAACTCAACCATATGTGATTATATTAATATTGTTAAAAAAAAATTGAAAGACATAGACTAGAAGTATCCAAAAATGAACTATTTGATACAATAGGCAATCATTTTGGAATATCAGTGTTTCCCTGATAATAAGATGACCTTAATAACAAAGAAAAACTTACCTTGACAAAAAGAATGAAAGAAAGTTACGAAGAAATTTTTTATACTTTCTTACAAAGCACGTAAGCATAGATGAAGCTACTTATTTGAGGTCTATTACAACACCTTCTTCTGATTGTTATATTGGAAACATTGATTTATTTTTGTTTGGCCTTTTGACATTTAAATAGTTTAGGAATTTTATTTTTGAAAGAAAAATAAACATCCAAATACGCAAAAGCCATTTGCACTTGGTAAAATCCAGTGTCGTAATTCCACTTAGCAAAATAAAAGTAAAAATGTAACATTTTTTAGAATGGTTATATTTATAAATTCAAAGTTTACAAATTCTTACAATTATACTATATACTATGGATAGTATACATTAGTTAAGTATGTAGTAATATGTACTACCCATAATATAGTAATATATATTATCCATAATATATAATATAATTTATAAGAGTCGGTAAACTTTGAGTTTGTAAATATAATTTTTTTTTTAATTTCCACATTTATTACAAGGAGATAATGAATCTCATTGGAGGATAATATATGAAAGTCGACATGGTAGGTGGGTGATTGCGCTCAGGGGGAGACGCATGAGACTACATGGAAGCATGACAGTGAAATCATATTCAGCTACATGTTTGGTGACGAATAACTCTCCTAACAACTCCATGGTCAAAACTAATGAAACTCGGTTCCTCCTATTGTATATTTCGCTCAGGATAAGACCGCAAAATCCATCACGTAATTTATATTTGTTTTCCGCCTGTGAATATTTTATATGTATTGCTATTCTCACCAGTCACTATTGCAATACCGAACAAAACAAGAGAAGAGGCAACATTTGGTTTAAAGTTTTCGTCCTTTAAGCCGTCCAAAATAAAAGATAGAAGCAGATAAGCTTTAAAATTATGACAATTTCTAACAACTAAGGGGCCGTAGGGGCTGAGGGGGTGGCAACAGGGGCAGAATTATTTGAAAATATATGTGGCTCTTGATACACCATATTTGTGGACAACTACAGACGACTAGCAGTTGGAGATTATATTAGAGTCTCAAATTGAACTAAGTTTTTGGTTCAAGATTTTTCATTGTTTTCCAGCAAAGTGATTCCCACATATCCAATTGTCTATGTTTGGTTCATCGATTTCTTCAATTTTACCCATCAAAATGAGTTGCCTAGCTATCATGTTTTGCATGTAAAAAGCAACAAAATGATGGTTCCAGAAAGCATTATTGAAGGTGGTATTTGTTTTTGAAAACTGGATAAGTGAAAAGTGTTACAAATGGGTGACACAATTACCCCCACATGTGAGAAGGATAATTGGTCCTATAGGGTTATTTTTAAAAGGTTAATTTTGTAATTTCAATAAATTTTCCTATCAATATTTTATCTTCAACCAAACACACATTCAGGAATTTCACTCAAATTTTTCTAGTAAAATTATGTCCAACCAAACAACTTTTTTAAAACTTTCTTATCTAACTCATTTTCCCTGCAGATCTCTAATAATTACATTTTCCTAGTAAAAAAAAATTTTACCTAAACCAAACACCCCTAGTAAGCTTTTGGGTGGGGCGGATAAGACTACTTAAGCGGCAAAACTCTCCCTTTTAAAATAGCTGTATTACTAAAGACTCGAACTCGAGACCATTTTATCAATTGATTCAAATGTTTGGTGGTATCAAATGATAATCAATTCTATGCATGATTACAACCGACCACGGATGCTTAGGCATTCAAATCGAACCCACTAAAGCCCACCTTCTTCCAACATTACCTGCTGAATTTTCAATTAGCTCTAACAACTCATTTAACCTTTTCATATGATTGCTTGGGCTGTTTGTCCGATCTCGCATTCAGATCCATAAAGAAAACTATTAAAACTCTTAATACTAAAACGTTTGAGGTTTTGTAACATAGTTATCAACTTATCATCGTTAGTTGACGTCAAATGACCTCTATGGGCACAAAGCGATTAATTTGTCCATTCTTATTAACACAATAAAAATGACAATTTTACAGTGCTCTTTGCCCTTTTTACTACTTCAGAGCAATGTTATAAAGGATCAACCTTCTTCAAGTTTCGGATGATCATATTCACGTGGACTCCACTCCATGGTAAACAACTCTGTGGTTCCCCACAGGTTGGAATGGCGGCACACGTTCCAACACTACAGCCAATAAGGGTGTGTTTGGTACAGGAGAAATTTTTTGGTGACCGGGAATCATGATTAATGGGAATTCAGTAGAAATTGAGTTTACTTGGAATCTTACGAAAGATGTGTTTGGTTCGCCAAAATATTACCGGGAATACTGGGTAAAAATTACTGATTCCATATTTGGTTTAGAACGAAATATGACTTGGAATATGAGGTTATTTTACAAAAATAACCCCAAACTATTTTTACTTTTGTAATTGATAGATTGAGTCTAGATTTTTATGTGTATTGGGGTATTTTTGTCTCAAAATTTATTGTTGTGCTTTCCCTTTACTTGGTATTCTGATTGGTATTCCGAATTATCATATTATTTTTGGTAATCTGAATAGTGACTTTTCTTTATAAATCAAATTACCGGTAATCCTTGGATATCCGGGAATCGTAATTTATTCCTTCTACCAAACGTGGTAATTACATTTACCAAAAAAGGATTACCGGTAATCTTCTCCAAAAACTTGAACCAAACACCCCCTAAGAGTCAATCATTTCGTGGGCCAGGCCTTACCTTTTAAACTCCGAAGCTGACTTGAAAAACACCACCACCACTATCTCATGTTTATTGTGATCATTACACCTCTCCTCTCATCATTTCCCCAAGTTCATGGCAACAAAAAATTGGAAAAGATAAATTAGTAGTTGAATCATGTAGTTTTTCTTTTAAACATGAAAATATCATAGAAAAACATAAACTCTTTTTGTGTAAGAACCTATCATCATTACTTATATAAAAATAGTATATTTTTATTGCTCATAACACGAGGTTGTCATGTTTTTGAGAAATATAATAATACGACTCAAATCCAATATATAAAGTACTTTTGCCTATGCATCTAAACTCTAAAAGAATATAGGAATCTCAATAAACTTAATAACTATATTTGACAAACTAATAAAAGTCTATAAACACAAGTTTTTTTTTTTAAGTAAAGAAAAATAAAGAGTAAATGAACTCGCAGTTAAGAAGATAATTCCATTAAAGGTATTATTAAACTTGGTTTGCAAAACAAAGTTACACAAGGGGCATGCGATAATAATAAACAATAATGAATCCAACATAACTAACCACCATTGGGCCGGTCCACATCACCCCTCCGTAAAAAAATCAAATTGTCGGTTTGGTCCAAAAGCCACGACAATGATTGAAGGACCCACCAGCAGGATGGGCGGTGATTAGTCTGGCGCCACCCACATACCATCACATCATAGACGTACACGTGGCATCACAAGAATGACCCGGAGGCAAAAGAATTCGAATTTTCTTGATCAATCGCCTTTGTCCCTCGTGTCTTAAACTTGGCTAACTGTAGTGTAATGTAACTAGTGTGATAGTATATATAATATGCATTAACCAGCATTTTATGCAAAAGGTGAGAGCAAGACATAAGTAACAACCTTAAGAGACAAAGAAAGAAAGAGGAGAAGATGCCGATTTCTAAAATTGCCATAGGAAATCCTTCGGAGTTCAGCCAAGCCGATGCGCTTAAGGCTGCACTTGCTGAGTTCATATCAATGCTCATTTTTGTGTTTGCTGGGGAAGGCTCTGGCATGGCTTATAGTAAGTCCTTATTATTAATATTAATATTATTAAACTCTTTGTGTTGGTTTACATTTGTGAAATGAACATGCAGTAACTCTATGACTGTTAATTATGGTTTGGCAGATAAGCTCACAAACAATGGTTCAGCAACCCCAGCTGGGGTAGTGGCAGCCTCACTGTCTCATGCCTTTGGTCTATTTGTGGCGGTCTCCGTTGGTGCTAACATTTCTGGTGGTCATGTCAACCCTGCTGTCACTTTCGGTGCCTTTGTTGGTGGCCACATTACTCTCTTTAGAAGCATTTTGTATTGGATTGCTCAGTTGCTCGGCTCTGTCGTTGCTTGTTTGCTCCTTAAATTTGCCACCGGTGGATTGGTAAGATAAATAACACTAGTTAATATTCAACATTTTTACCCATTATCACTTTAATTTTTTTAGTAAATTATTTACCAATCTAATGTTAGTGTATGGGATGTATGCGTTCAAGTTCAGCAATCAACTTTATGTGTCACTTGTGTAAAAGTCAAAACGCATAGCACACGTATAAAGATGTGTACGACTTGAACACACATAATCAAAATACATGTTTTGCATTGTGCTAATTTTTGCAAAAGTAGCACATGAAGCTAATGCACAGCTTAAATGTGCATAGTCACCACAAGTGTTTCACTCATATTAGATTGGTAAATAGTTTTCAAAAGAATGACCTGGAAATATTTATATTTTTGCTTTGCACTGGTCAAAAGGACTCAACATGATTCTCGACCTTTCTAGTTTTGTGCTAAATTCCAAGTGTTGGTTGTTCTGTCTGTGTTTGTTGTTGTAGGAAACATCAGCATTTGCACTGTCTTCTGGGGTGGGAGCAGCGAATGCACTGGTGTTTGAGATTGTGATGACTTTTGGTTTGGTTTACACAGTGTATGCAACTGCAGTGGACCCAAAGAAGGGTGACGTTGGGATAATTGCTCCAATTGCAATTGGTTTCATTGTGGGTGCTAATATCTTGGCTGGTGGTGCATTTGACGGTGCATCTATGAACCCAGCAGTGTCTTTTGGACCCGCTGTTGTAAGCTGGACATGGGATAATCATTGGGTCTATTGGCTCGGCCCATTCATTGGTTCAGCCATTGCTGCCCTTGTCTACCAGATTTTCTTCATTACCCCAATCACTCATGAACAGCTCCCAACCAATGCCACAGATTATTAGACCTAAACTCCTCCTCACTTTGAGTTTAAATTTAAAGTGGGTTTGGTTTCCTTTAATTTCTCTTGCTTAGCTTGTTGTCGCTGCTTCATGTTTTTGGTTTTCTATTTGCTTGTTTTCAAATGTTGATTCCTATGAACTTTGTCCAGTTTTGTAACATCTTCTTTTTTTTTTTTAAAGTAATGTTCATTTCTTCTAAACTAGAATGCGTAGTTAAAATCATTCAGGGCCTCTTACATGATTATAATCCATCGATAGAGAAGAAAATTGCTGCGCTTGACAGAGGTCTAAGCCTGTGTCTGAATACCAAGGAACACTGGGAACCTATGAACAACATTAAACATTAATGACTATCCAAAAGTCCATGATAATTAACAAGTAACTCTAATAAATGAATGTTTCAGAATAAATGAGAACGGAAATAAAAATACATGTTCATATGTTCAACAAAAGATCAGTAGCCGAGAGTTATGCTCTACTCATGCCTTTTTCTGCGCATGGTGTCTCACTTTTTGAACAATTTTTGGACCGGATGAATGGATGAACAAGAAGCACAACCTGAAAATTAAGCAATAATGAAAAGAATGAAGAGAGAATTGAAAAAGAACATGGTCATGACATTTGATATCAGAGTAAAAACCAATTTCCAATTGCCATACAAGTCTAGTTCACTGGTGAGTGAGGACAAAGCACACTGAAAAGTCTCATGTTACTGTGTGGGGACAGTCATTGATTCTTGCAAGTGGCTGGGTGTTATAAGATTTTACACTAATTGGTATCAGAGCAGGGCCTCTCTTCCAGTACGGTGTGGTTCGAGGACGAACCAGGCGGAAGCTGGTGGGTATGTAACATCCCAAGAGCTGGCAAGGGCAGGGAATGATCGTCAGTGCGAAAGGGCACGGACAATGAGCGGCTCATGCCAAATCTTGCAGCTTGGGGGTTCATGAATGAATCGAATCAACACCCGAAAGAGAGGGATTCCAGAGACTGTGCTGGTATGGGACGGTACAGTTAGGAATTGCTTATAAGAATTAATTGGTATTACCTATACTAACAAGATGCATCTACTTTTCGGTAGCCCGGATCGGAAGAACTCCACAGTTAAGCGTGCTTGACTTGGAGCAATTCTGGGATGGGTGACCTCCTGGGAAGTTTTCCCGGGAAGTATGCGAGTGAGGACAAATCACACTGAAAAATCTTATGTTAGTGTGTGGGAACAGTCATTGATTCTTGTAAGTGGCCGGGCGTTACAAACGGTAATAGATTCTCTCATATTAAAAAAAATATGACATGCACAGTCTCGTAGGGAATCATAACTATTCAAATGTGAATCAATGATGATAAAGGAAAGGAGAGAAAAAAATATTGAAATAGGTAGTTATAAAATCATCACATTTGATTCACCTTTATATGATTGTGATTTTTCCATAATTCAAGTTAGCTTCTGCTAGTTCAAGAGTTTGTTGTGCTTCCATCTCATATATATTTTTTTTAACATGAGGATCCATTTACGTTTTTGTATAAGTTGTAATTCTATAAATTGTTAGCTCATTGAATACATAAAAAATAATAAAAAAAAATTCAAGTCTTCCCTAATGTCCATCCTCCTTAATCCCCTCTCCATAATCTCTCAATCTCTAAAGTCCACTCTATCTCCAATCTCTTCTGTATGTTTCTAATTTTGTTACCCTTCAATATTGGTACAACTATTTCTAAGCTATTTTTCTATTACTTTTTTCCCTCCATTTTTTGGTCTCCTGTAGAAAGCTGGATAATCAAAGAGCTCATCTATAGGGAAACCAAGAAACCCACAAATAACCGATGCTAAATATCACTCAACTAGCTCAATTTAGGCTAAAAACGACTTTCCAATTAAACCCAATTAACAAGTGTGGAGTAAGGGCAATTCTTATACGCACCCTTATCCTTACAAATAATTGCAAAGAGATAATTTTTCGAATTTGAACCTATGACCTTTCAATCACAGAAGAACAACTATGGTTAAAAAAAGGACAGCTATAGCTAAACTAGTAATAAGAGGATATATCATGGTACAAAAATCATAATGCTGACACCTTTTGAGTTCTGAGGGGCATGGTTGCCAGAAAAGTGGGAAAGGGCTTCAAAGAAGAGAATTCTCATTAAAATTATAGGAAGTGCCTGATTCATAAGTCACACTGCATGTTATTGACAGATCAGTCAATAATTTACCAAAAAAGGGATTTCGTTGGATAAGAAAGGAATGGGTGTGTAGACAATCATAAAAGTTATTATCTGTTGTAAATTCATTCAGAAACAAAAATCAGAGTCTAGGATATATACATACATGGACTCGCAGTGTACCTAATTAATAGATAAAGCAATAAGCTTAAACTTGAAAAGAGTATTCTATAAACAAAAAAATTTAACCCGGTATTTCTATGAATCTGAGCACTTAAGTTTAAGGAACTCGGAGCAGACGAATTGAAAATAACTGAGATAAATGATCCAAGAATGACAATTTCCGATTGAATTGAAAGCATGATGTGAATATCTAATAATCGGAATCTCCAGAGACTATAGTCCTGTTATCTTTCTTATTTGGTAAATAGTCGTGTTATCTTTCTTTGTACAATAATTAGGGGAATGTTACCATTATAAATTTTTTTGTTTACAAACTCTTACAAATTACACTATGTATAATCTGTCATACTTAGTATAATTTGTAAAAATATTTATAAACGGATTCTTCTCCCAATAATTATCTTCGATTTCAAACTCCTAAAAAAAATAAAAATAGAATGGGATAAGATATATTTACTACCAAAAAAATTTACCACATTTAGAATCAACTTAATCACTGTTAATTTTCGTCAATCTAACGGTTATAATTTATTGGAAATTATTTGGCCACATTTATTAATTAATTATTAATTTCTAATAAATTAAAACCATTAGATTGATGGAAATCAACGGTGATTAGATTAGTTGTAAATGTGATAAATGTTTTTTATGGTAAGAATATCCTTCCCGGAAGAATATCTTGTCTACCGTTACGGAAGACATGAAATACAAATGGGCTAAAAAGAAAATTTGTTGGAATAGAAGATTCGATCTGATCTGATTGTTATTAGTTGTAGATTGGTTGTTATCTTAGTTTGTTAGGATACCTTTTTCCTAGCTTATTTTGTTATCTGATGTATTCTAGGATAGTAGCATCTTAGCTGTTGCATATATTTAGGAAGTAGTTGCACCCATCAGGAACAGCCATAGGCCTATTTATTTGTATTCATGTTCACTTCATACGATAGAGAATTAATGGAAACAATTTCCTTTTGTACAATTTATCATGGTATCAGAGCTTGTCTTTCCTAAACACTTCCGCAGACGTGCACAACTCTAAAGTTGTGAGCAGATTTCAGTCTTACTTGAAGATGACCACTAGTGGAACGAAACCCACAGACCCGGGTTCACATTTCTATCTCGCCGGTTCAGATAATCCTGGCATTCTCTTGACAAATGTTACGTTGAGAGGGGAAGCAAATTATGAGAACTGGGCAAAACTCATGAAAAATGCCCTCAAATCAAAAAACAAGTTGGGATTCATTGATGGATCCATTAAGAAACCTGACAAGGCGCAAGCAGAGGAGTGGCGCGCCTGGGAGATGTGTAATTCCATGATCAACGGATGGATACACAATACCATCGATCAGAAATTGCAACCATTCATTAAGTGCTTTGATGAGGTAAAAGACCTCTGGAATGACCTGAAGGAAAGGTACGCTGTCGAAAATTTTACTCGTCAATACCAACTCAAGGCTAGTTTGGCCACCATAAGGCAGCAAGGTACCACCATTGCAGAATACTACATGCAGCTACGCGCTGTCTGGGATGAGCTCGCCAGCAGCAAAACTTATACACATTGTCCGTGTGGAGCAAACTGCGCATATGCAAAGGCAGTTGAAGAAGAAATGGAACATGATCAGGTATACAAGTTCCTTATGGGCCTTGATGATGTCTATGGCAATTTGCGGTCTCAAATCCTCAACAATTCACCTCTTCCAACGATGAATAAGGTGTATGCCATTATGACCCAGGAAGAGACTCACAGAGCTATCACTCGAAATCAGACTCCTCGTAATGATGAAGTTGGAAATGCAGTACAAGCACCTGCACCAGCCAAGGACCGGTTTGCCGATCGTCCTCCATGCATCCATTGTGGCAGAAATAATCACGAGGCCTCGCGTTGCTGGCAAGCATTCGGATTCCCTGGTCGTGACGAAGGCAAGGGGCGCGAAGCTCTCAGCCGCGACGGTAGAAGGGGGCGAGGTCGTGGCCGCTTTGGTGGTTACAGAAGTAACTCACAAGGGGGATGGCGCAACTCACAAGGAGGTTCCTATGCAAAGCCTTTTGCTGCAAACGCAGCACAAACGGAGGACTCATCTGAGCAAGCAAACGCTTTTCCTGTTTTGACACCAGATGTAGTAACAAAACTACTCACACTGGTTGATCAGCCTCGACAATCGAAGGAAAAATTAATTGGTAAAAATTCACATTGGCTTATAGATAGTGGGGCATCGCGCCACATGACAGGAATTCTGGACTTATTTGCAAACATTACGACCATTGAGCCTTTGTCAATAGCTTTACCTAATGGAGCTGTCACTTATGCAAAGCAACAAGGATCTGTTTTATTTGACAATTTTTCTTTATCCAACGTTTTATTTGTTCCTAATCTAAAGTGTAATCTGATATCAGTTTCTCAATTGATACGACAACAAAACGTTGATGTGGTGTTTACTCATGATTGTTGTGTGTTACAGGACCGCAAGCTGAGGACGGAGATTGGATTGGGTGACCAAAAGGATGGTGTGTATGTGTTGAGACCAAGCCAAGTAGCAGCCTTCACAACACGTTCAAATGATTCACAAGAGCTTTGGCACAAGCGGTTGGGACATGCATCACCTGAAGCACTTTCTATGCTCTCTTTTTCTAGAGGTTTTCAATTTTGCAGTATGAATAAAAAGGCTTGCGATGTCTGTTATCGTGCCAAACAAATTCGATCCTCTTTTCCTATTTGTGATCGCAAAAGCAATAAAGTATTTGATCTGATTCATTGTGATATATGGGGTCCTTATAGAACTCCCTCTTCTTCGGGTGCTTATTACTTCTTAACCATAGTTGATGACTTTAGTCGTGCCGTATGGGTTTGCTTAATGAATGATAAAAGTGCAACGTATTTATTTCTGCGAAAATTCCTTCTAATGGTGCAAAATCAGTTTAATACAACGGTTAAATCAGTTCGGACAGATAATGGCACGGAATTTACTTCTCATAAGATGGCTGAATTATTCACTGAAAATGGTGTGTTTCATCAGAAATCATGTGTCCATACGTCACAACAAAATGGACGAGTAGAAAGAAAACACAGGCATATTTTAAACGTGTCCAGAGCACTTTTATTTCAAGCTAACTTGCCTATTAAATTCTGGGGGGAAAGTGTCATGGCTGCTGCCCACATAATTAATCGAACTCCAACCAAGGTTCTTCATGGAAAGACCCCTCATGAAATTCTGCATGGGTACACTGATGACTATGGGCACTTAAAGGTATTTGGTTGCTTATGTTACGTGGTGACGCAACCGAAACCAGCAAACAAGTTCAGCCCAAGATCTAGAAGGTGCATGTTTATTGGTTATCCTTATGGGCAGAAAGGTTGGAAGGTTTATGACCTTGATACTAAGGAATTTTTTGTTTCACGAGATGTTAGCTTTCATGAGGAGGAGTTTCCATTTATTGCGGCAGACTTACCTACTCCGCGTCCTTTATTGCCTTCTTCTCTTCAAGAAGATTCGAATGAAGTGACCCCACATGTCCCTGATCATCCATCACGAAGTTCTGTACTTGAAGCACAGCCCGACGCCAGGGGGAGTTCTACGCGTGGTGGAACAGCGTGCAGTTCTGAGCACCTTGAGCATTCTCCATCACCTCCTGATCCCATGCAAGGGAATCTAAATCCAGCACCTACTCTAGTACATAGAACTGAAGAGCCCAGTTGTGATTTGGGGCCCCGAAGTGAAGAAACAACTCAACCTGAGTCTCATCGTCCAGCACGAACACGACGGACACCATCATACTTGAATGACTACAACTGTAATATGATCACAACACATACACCACCACCTGCTCTCACCTCTTCCACTTCTACCTCAGGTATGCGGTACCCTATTGCAAACTATGTAACCACTAACAAATTTTCTTCAAAACATCGCATGTTTGTTGCTGCTATTGACACAGGAACTGAACCTCGCTCATTTAAAGAAGCTATGGCAAATGTCGAATGGCGTCAAGCCATGGCACAAGAGATCCAAGCCCTAGAAGAAAATCATACATGGGCTATCACCGAGTTACCAGCTGGGAAGCATGCTCTTCCATGTAAATGGGTCTATAAAATTAAATATCACTCAAATGGCAGCGTCGAGCGTTACAAAGCCCGATTAGTAATCGCAGGCAATCACCAAATTCTAGGCGAGGATTTCACTGAGACTTATGCTCCAGTAGCGAAAATGGTGAGTGTTAGAACTTTACTCTCGGTTGCAGCAGCAAAAGGTTGGTATTTACATCAAATGGATGTTCATAACGCGTTCCTTAACGGCGATCTTGATGAAGAAGTGTACATGCGCATCCCAGCTGGCTTTAATCAAGGGCAAGGAAGCAAAGTATGTCGCCTACAAAAGTCCTTATATGGTTTGCGACAGTCTCCCAGAAATTGGTTTGCAAAACTAAGCACTTCTCTTGTCCAATATGGTTTTATTCAATCTGCAGCAGATCACACTTTATTCACTTTGCAACGTGGTCCTTGTTTCTTAGCCATTTTGATCTACGTTGACGATTTGGTGTTGGCAGGGAATGATTCACAGGCATGTCAAGAGGCTAAAGCTTATCTTAACAAATGCTTCAAAATTAAGGATTTGGGCCAGTTGAAATATTTTTTAGGCATCGAAGTTGTTCGTCATGATGACGGTATTTTCTTGTGTCAACGTAAATACGCGTTGGATATTCTCAAAGAAACTGGTTTGTTGGATTGTAAACCAGTTCAGTTCCCAATTGAACAAAATCATCGTTTGGCTCTAGATGATGGTCCTGCCTATGGTGATCCGGGACGTTATAGACGAATTGTGGGTAAGCTAGTCTATCTTACAATAACTCGGCCTGATTTAAGCTATGTCGTGCATATTCTCTCCCAGTTCTTGCAAGCTCCGAAGGAAGTGCATTATGAAGCTGCTATCAAAGTATTACGATACCTCAAAATGAATCCTGGCCAAGGAATTCTCCTTCCTTCCAAGAGTGATCTCAAAATTCATGTTTTTTGTGACTCCGATTGGGCCAGCTGTCCTTTAACTCGTAGGTCAGTTTCTGGGTTCTTTATTATGCTTGGAAATTCATCTATCTCATGGAAAACAAAGAAGCAGCTCACCATCTCACGCTCCTCGGCAGAAGCTGAATACCGCTCCATGGCAACCACCACGGCTGAATTAGTTTGGTTGAAGTCCTTTCTTGCATCTCTTAATGTTTTTCATGATGATCCAATGGAGTTGTGTTGTGACAATCAAGCGGCTCTACACATTGCAGCCAACCCTGTGTTTCATGAGCGCATCAAACACATTGAAATTGACTGCCACTTTGTCCGGGAACGGTTGTTATCCAAGACTATCCGTACTATTTTTGTTCGATCTCAGTTCCAACTTGTGGATATTTTCACAAAGGCACTTGGACGCGCTTCCTTTATGGCTTTCCTTCCCAAGTTAGGCATTTCATATCTTCATGCTCCAACTTGAGGGGGAGTGTTGGAATAGAAGATTCGATCTGATCTGATTGTTATTAGTTGTAGATTGGTTGTTATCTTAGTTTGTTAGGATACCTTTTTCCTAGCTTATTTTGTTATCTGATGTATTCTAGGATAGTAGCATCTTAGCTGTTGCATATATTTAGGAAGTAGTTGCACCCATCAGGAACAGCCATAGGCCTATTTATTTGTATTCATGTTCACTTCATACGATAGAGAATTAATGGAAACAATTTCCTTTTGTACAATTTATCAAAATTTCAAGCATTATCAGAGAAGTAAAATCCCAAATGCTAAAGATCTGTTAAGTGAATTTTTCATGAGTGTCATGTCATGAGGTAATTGACTTTCAACGTGAAACAGTTTTATGAAATAATTATTTCATTCTTTCTACTGAGATGTCACGTTTTCCTTTAACTAGCTGAGCACCAAGTTAATCACACACACCAGAAATATTTTCTCTCATTTAAGCACAAGTTTCTTCCTCCTAAATTAAACTTTTTACTTCCACAACAATCGATTAATTATGTTATAAATTTTATGAATAACTAAGGTCAACGAAAGATAGAAGGAGCTCAACGAAACAAAGAACTTACAATAGTTCGCATGAACTCTACCGAGAAAATATTTTCAAGTTTCTTCATTTCTCTCGGGACATGAATTTCAATTCTGTTCTGTTCCAAGATTTAATGATGCTATTTGAAAAAATGAAAAGTTTTCTATTGTCTCCTAATTAAGTAGAAATCTCAGGCAATGAAGATGATCGATCTGGTAATTCTAATTTACATCTGGATTTGCTATCTGCTATCTAGGCATGTACCAGGAAGAACCTTAGCAGCTACTTGATTGTTTTAATTTTGAAACTGCACTTGAATAATCACGTAGAAGAAGTTTCTTTTGGTAATTTAATCATCTTCATATTCAACATATCTTATTTAATAGTAAAAATAGATCTTAAGCTGAAATACAAAAATTATTTGCATAATTTACCCCCCAAAAATTATGTATTTATCTTGCATAATTTTACTATTTTGGGGAATATTGATACTAATTAACATTGTTTCGTGGATAGTCATTTTTTTTGCAGCATAGATATTTGTATAAATGTTGTGTTATGACTGGGGACTTGGTGAAGAGCAGAGATGGCAAAGTGGGCGGGGTGGGTCGCCATCAACCCGTCAAAAAATGAGTCAGCCCGTCTCGTCTCGCTTTTAAAAGTGGGTTGAAAAACTCAGCCCGTCCCGCTCCGTTTGGCGGGTTGACCTGCCAGCTCGAACTTATTTTACACTGACCCGCCTTGGCCCGCCTATGTCCACCATCAACTTGCCAAAAAATGAGCCCGTCCCACCCCGCTTTTGATATGGGTTGAAAAACTCAGCCCGCCACACCCCGTTTGGCGAGTTGGACGGGTGGGTCCATCGAGCCGAGCCCGTTTTGCCGGCTCTACTGAAGAGGAATCAAAGTTATAGCATGGTCTGGATTTCTAACTGGATAAGTGCAGAATACTTGTTCTTTGAGTTCAGTGTGGCATATGCAGCTTGTAGCTTGAATATCATTGCCTTTGCTCTAATTATTATAATAATAACTCATTCCTGTTCCCTTATGAAGCTGATTAAGTTGGAACTTAGAAAACAGATGTGTAGTTCCTGGCACAAGTAACAAGTTTATCTAGCCATTTGTTTGCAGATTTATGTTATTTTCTGGAATATATACAATCTCTGAATCCCTTAAAGATTAAATCATATTAACATGTTTTTCTCTGAGAAGTGAAAGCAAAACTAGATTGAAATTAATTTGTTTCAAGATTTAGCATGCATGATAAAAGACAAGAAAAAAGTTCCTTTCCTATGGTGTATTTCGTGAAAATTCAGCCCCAGTAAACTATAGTTCCCCTTGAGTCCCTAGTCCCTACTGCTTTGCGAGGCATGGCTTATTTTTAAGTAAATGTCTATTTTGGTCACGCGACATCACATTTTATCTGAATGATATATGATTTTGATCAGAAAGCGGCATAGATATTCACTATTCATGCATTTGCCTGTAGCTACCAATATAAAGAAGTAAAGAGCTTTTATTGGTATATACGAAAAAAAAAGAGCTTTTATTGGTAGAAGTGTAGATCAGATTAAAACTCACATGTAAACAAGTGCTTGATATTTTACATTCAGAACATACCAACTCCCTACCCTATTGGATGTTTCTTCGAAAGTAAAAGCACTGAAACATTGACATAGACTATAGTTGTGCTTGAGTTTATTACAGCTGTGTCACACTAAGGAGAACCATGCCAAAAGCTTAAAGATGCACTGCTATACATGTTAGACTTTGACAAAACAGGTGATACACATGTGACATATGAACAAAATATTGATTGGATAAAGAATTCTGACTAGCCAGTTAGAAACGCACTACCTTGTGCATAGCAGGAAAAATAAGGGTCACTTGTTGGGAATAACAAACTCTCTTCATCCATCACCCATAAGGGGTCAGAAGAATACTTCCATGAAGGAGAAGGCATAGTTGGACAAGAGAAGTTGCAGCCCTCTTCACTGTTCCCATCATAGACTGGCTGCAGAATGTTATCATCTGAAAGATCAATATCTTTCCATATATCATCCATAGAGAACCCTTGTTCACCTTGTTGATCTTCTCCCACCTTAACTTGGGTTGAGCCTATCAGATTAGGACCTCCAGTGTCATAAAAGCTTTCTTCCCCAGCCTTTTTGGAAGCATGTGAATCCACAGAATGATTGTTTGAGGATATTGAGGAGTGAACACTAGAAGGTGATGGTGATGATGAAACTGCTCCTCCCCTCTTTTTCTCTTGAGCCTTCTTCCTCATTTGAGTCCTCCAGTAATTCTTAATCTCATTATCAGTGCGCCCTGGTAATTTCCTAGCAATTCTTGACCACCTGCATGCCTCAAAAGGAACTCAATGATTAGCTTCAAATTGAAGAGCAAAAAGGACATGACTTTTGAGTATGAAGATTGAACTTAGTTTCAACAGATTCTCAAACCTGTTTCCCCATTTTGTGTGAAGTTCCAGTATGAGGCGCTCTTCCTGGGGTGTCATCTTTCCTCTTTTGAGACCAGGATGCAAGTAATTAACCCACCTTAACCTGCAACTCTTACCTGTTCTATTCAAACCTACAACAAAATGAGGTGGTTAAAGGCTGCTTCTTCCAAAATCTAGATTGTTCAAATAAGCATTACCTAGTTACTGTCTCCCGCCACCTTCAAACCTGACACCTTAGCTATAAAATCCCATCTACGGTCTCCAAACAAGCCAACAAAGGACATCAATTTGAAGTCTTCCTGTTCTGTCCATGGACCTTTTCTGACTTCCTGTTGAACCATTTTTTTCTTGTATTTTTCCAAAGCCAAACTCTTACTTGTGGAAATGGAATGTTATCTCTGGATGGGAACTTTCTCCACTTGATGACTTACAGCACCTGTGCAAGCAATAGCAGTATTTATATAAGGGTTGCCGCAGTCTTTTATTATTTTTATAATAAGCAATTTTGCATATCCATCGTTCATGTAGTGCGCATGCTCCTTCAGTCAATTGCTAAGGGGCAATTCAGGAAAATGACATCTTCCACTACATGGAAATAATCAGTGTAATGGATCAATCTGCCAATGTAGCTCTCAGAATTGGTTTTTTCTTTGTGCACTTGATGAAACAAAGTTACAACGTTGGATTCATTCTGATTTCTGAATTTATCAGACAGATTCATTCTTTTTTATTTTTTATTTTTTTCTTTCCTGCTTTATTCTCATGACAATTTGTATAATAAATTTGTTGTTGTTGTTGTTGTATAATGGGTGAGGGAAATAAGTTAAAGTAGTAACTATGCATGTCTTGTTGCACAAATTGATGGAATATTGCGTCCCTTGACTTCAGTAAAGGCCGGGGCAGAAAACAAAAGGGAAAGTAGAAGAGGACAAAACTTTGTAAGAATAGGAAATGGTTGGGAAGTTTCTCGGAGGCAATCTTCTCACTCCCTCAAATATAATAATGAAAATGGAGAGAGATTTTAGTCACAGAAACTATTGTTTGATAAATCTAGCAATCCAGATTCTGTGTGTAGTGCCCCTAGCGGGATAGTGTGCATTGTGTCGGGCCACTTCGGTCTGTTAAATAATCGGAAATTACAAGTTGATTGATGTGCCCAAAGCCACGCATATACATGTTATTAAAAATATAAAAGACTCTTGATGTTTAAAATACATTATTATCCTTTTTGTTGGGTATGGCTCATACTTTACATGCTCATTATGGTCCTAGTTGTCGGGGTCAGCAGAAAGACAACTGAGATTCCGCTTCCATGAATAGTTGTTGTTAGGATTTTGTAATCCTATTTATATTTGCCTTGTAAACCGAGAGACTTGTAACGAGTGGCGATGAAGTGAATATAGTACAGAAAAGCTGGACGTAGCCTAAACTATTCTCTCTTTTTCTTTTCGGTTTCCGATTTGTGTATCACGATTTCCAACACTTTTGTTATGATTGATATCTCTCAGTATTCTAAGACACCATTTTCAATTTTGCACTCAAATCCTGCTCCAAAAATTGTTCTCTCTCTAACCATTTTAAGCCTGTGTTTTCTGTTAGACCAGTAAAAATACATTTATATTTGCTGACAAAAATTCACCCAAACACAAATTGTAGTTTTGTTTTTTGTAATGAAAAAATATGCTTAAAACTAGTGTTGGGATGTTCCGAAGTAAGGTGAAGAGGATCAACATTGCTTGCAACGGTGGAGATTAGCTACGATGGAGGACTGGTGGTGCTTGGTTCTTGAAAATGCTCATGTTCGATTAACACGAGCGTTGTGGGAGTAGAAGGTCGTTATTGGAATTGGTAATTAACATAACCACATGAGAAAATTCTAATCACACAAAGATAAATTAATAATAATAAAGAGAAAGAAAAAATATTGAGATAGGTAATTATAAAATAATCACTGTTAATTCAATTTTGTATATGTGTAAAATAAAAGTTTACCAAAAAAAAAAAAAAATTAAATAAAAAGAGTATTCATTTCCAGAATGGAATAGTCATTTTGTTACTGATTTCTTGGCAAATTTTTTGAAAACTTAGCTGTAAATGATAAAACAGCATATTTAATAGAGATGGGAGTGGATCCATTCATATTAAAAAAGACATGACATGTTTACCAAAAAAAAATAAAAATGATATGACATGGTCATGTGAGCAATCATAATCATAAAAAGCTAAATTAATAGTGATAAAAGAAAAGAGATAAAAAATATTAAAATAAATAATTATTAAATTATAACCATTGATTTACTATTGTCTCACATCATATCATGTTTTTTAAAACATAGGAGGATGCATTTTCAATAGAAATGGACCTAGTAATAAACATAATTTAACGGACCAATAAATCTGTTGTCGTAAAATTTATGCAGTTGACCACTTTTAGTCCAATGATGTTAATTTGAAAACTTTAAAATGAAAAAGTCTAACGATTTGTAATACTTTGAGTATTTCAGATAGGTAGAAAGATGGGACAAAATAACGAATGAAGATAAGAATAAATATGATTTTTTACTATTTTACGGAACTATGTTAACTTGTGTTACCATTAGATAAGTCTGAGTTGATTTCCAAAATGAAAGGGTATCGAGTGCAAATATATTAAATTTTCAAGATTGAAATAACATGCCCATATATAGACAACCGGTAGTACTGCCATTTTTATTTTATTTTTTGGAAAATGCCAGTAGTACTACAATTAACACGTGGTATTGAAAATTTTATAACTAAGCATATAAAATATTTGTTTTACATATAATTATTTTATAATGGTATAAAAATGAAAATCTCATACTCAATTGATTCCACTTGTATTTAATTAATAAATTTAAATTATTAGATATAAATTAAGGCGGGTTTGAACTTTGAATGTGACACTTACACCAATATTAATTGATTCTGCCCTATATGCGGGTATAATAATTTTTTAAGATCACTCCCATCATATATTATTGTTACTAAACTATAAAATTAAAATAAAAGTATTATAAAATATAGAGACTAAATTAAAAATGGTTTTCACATGTATGCATAAAAAATATATTGTATTTTGGACTTTTTCTTTTATCCTTATATGTGATACTTATTTTTTACTTGACCTCTACATTTCTGTAACGTCCCGTCTGCAGCCGGTTAACTAACATTCATATAATATAGTAAGCGCAGCATGCTCAATTTAATTAATGCGGATGCTAACTAAATAATTTTCTCTTTTTTCTTATGTATTGCAAACATTTTCACTTCCATGGCTAAAATAAAACGGACAGCATTTCCTCTGTATTTTGGACCACTGGGGATAATTCTCACTATGATAATTTCAACTTGATTGACAGTTTAATGTAATTCAGGCATACCACAACATAGATAAAATATATTGCCCAGTCATCCATGGCCTAGGCTATCTCATAATCACACTGTCTCAAAATAATGTCCATGATGTTATTTATATAATTACATCAAATAAACAAAAGAGATGCAATTAAATAAGTAACATAGACCTTAGCATGCATAACTAACAGCATATACATACTATCGACATGGCATAGACATCTCCTATGCTCTCAAAAATATACATGGCATATACAACTCCAAATAAAGTATGTCAGGTACAAATCTAAATATCCACAGGACCCAGGCAATCATGTCAAGTAGTATCCTTCATCTAGCCTCTTGCCACGCGATGCCTCAACACCATCAACTCCTGTAACTGAAATGGTAATCCACGCGGGGTGAGATAATACAATTACCTCAGTAAGCTAGGGACCCTTGGAGGGTTCCTCCACCCCTAAGCTCACTTCTGGTATAAACACATATAAAATTCATGCATACATCAGAATATGTATGACAATGCACTGTGCAATAATATAATCCTACTGGCCAGAGAATATAACAAGTATGCATTACGCAAGGAAACACCGTCTTGCAACATACCGTATGAGGAAACACCGTCTCATACTATGCATAAGGAAACACCGTCTTATGCCTCACACAATGAAACACCGTCTTGTGTGGCACACAAACATACATTCAAATACATGCAACATATAACAATTTATTTTCAACATACCATATCAAACTACCATCTTCCCTCGGTGTCTGGTGGAACAAACGGGGGATTAACCCCAAGGACCGAAAGCTTACCTGGCAAGCAGTGTCCTCCAATAATTCTCATGTCCACAGCGTCACGATCTACCACGTTTAATTTTCAAGACCACACATACAAGAAACCTTCACTTGATTTTTTGTTCAATTTATCAAAGTGTCCTAAATGACGATTTCATAATTTTTTCTTTTACGGGAACCAATCCCAAACATATTTAACAAAAGGACTCACCTACAAATCACCCTCCAACTACTCATACCATTTAATCTCAATTTATACAACCCTATATCATGCATTTTCTCCAAAAACACAAGAGGGGAGTTAGGACATTTACCTTAGAAGCTTCAAATCCCTAAGAGAAAGACAATCCAAGTCTTCAATCCAAGAAAAATATCATTTTTCTCCTCTTGTGAACAGTACCCGCGACCTAGGGATGTAGAAATCTCTCAATATAATGACTCTCAACTAAAACTAAGCTATGGGTTTTGTAAAGGATGAAATTTGACACAATTTTGGCTTTGGAACCAAGTGGATTGGAGGTCTCTAGCTTTCTCTATGTTTTTTTGAAGATTTTTCTCAAAAACCCATTTTGTTTCTTCCCTCTGTTATGCTCGTGAAAGACGACGATGAATATGAGTGTTTTGAAGTTTTTCACTTATATTAGTTAAGTGAAATTCAACTGGATAAAGGCTTATCTATCTAGTCACCTCTATTCATTACCAAATTTTACCCAATGGACTAGAATATTTTTCTAGTCATGTTTATATTTTTACTTTTACCTTTTGAGTAATTTTGTCTACCCACATTTTTATCCCTTAACTGTCATTTTAACTCTTTTTTCACTAAATGTAACTTTATTTTTTTCTTCTATTTTCCTTATAATTATGATTAAAATCATTAATTCATAATTAAATCCAGGCTACATGTGAAGGTTATTATAATTTCATTACATATTAACTTTGAAAAACGATATTATAATAAGAGGTATGTTTTTCTTCTTGTCTGCATGCCCATAAAAAATGGCTCCTAGCAGTGTGTATGAAAAAATTTGTTGGTAACAATAGCGGACCTATAAAATTTTATTTATGTCTGCACTTAGTCTAGGGTTCTCAGGCAGCGCCCTCGAAAAAAATTTAAAAGAAATTTTTAAATGGAATAAAAAATAAAAAATATAAACACAAAGAGAAAAGAAAACTATTTACATATATCAAGCTTTGCTATTTCGCGCACATCTC